CCCGACACTCCCGCACACCCCGCAGCAGTGCTGTCACCCCGCGGCGGTCCCCTGCTCTGGGAGGACAGGGATTATGCTGGATCACTCGTGTATAAAATCACTCCTTGTCCGGCAAGGAGCCCATCAGCAGGGGAAGCCGCTGTGGGCTCTGCTCGCCTCGGCTCAGAGACCTGCCAGGCCCTGTGCCGTGCCGCGGTGCGTCGGCGGTGGCGGCTGCAGTTTCCATATCTGGGCCATTCACCACTCGAGACTTTTAGCGCCCGGAGCAACAGCATGTACTGCTGATGAGTTCTTTCTGCTCCAGTAATTACAGTGAGGAATTTGTCAGAATGAGCTTTCTAAAACCTTCTTGTCTTGTTCTGATTTTACCTGGAGTGTAAAAAGTCATTAGTATGGTAAAACGGAGGCTGTGCTAAGCCAGCAAGCCATCCAGATAACGCAGTTTACATCCACTACACACTCAATATGCACAAAAAAAAAAAGAAAAAGGAAAAAAAAATAGAAAAATGCTGGCTTTCTATTTTGCGCAGATGGAGTTTTCCGTGATTGAAATTAGTAGGATGGGAAGGCAAGCGGAGAAGGTGGCAGGCCTGTGGGCTGGGCATGGTGCAATGTGCCGGCTGCCGCTGCTGCCGATGCCGCAGCTTCCCCCCTGCAGCTGCATCTCTGGCTCCCGAGGCACGGAGAGACCCAGATGCCAGTCCCCTCTGGGATGGGCCAGCCCTGCTATTTGGGGCAATTTGGGTTTTGCCCACAGCCCTTCTTTCAGGAGCTTCTCTCCTGCCTGCAAACACAAGCCCAGATTCACCGGGTACGTCTGTCATGGTTTGGAGAGGCTGCTGCCAGCCCCAGGCTACAGCCCGTGATGGGGCCATGCTGTCCCCGTACAAAAAAGCAAGTGGAAAACTCCCTCGAGTGATGCCCTGGACCCCCTGGGGCTGCTGTGAGCATCCCACTGCGAGGCATTGAGCCCAGGGTGGGGAAAACTCCTCCTGTTCCCACCACAGCCTGAAAATCACTGTTTCTGGTTCCAAAGCCTCCCAGCCCCCCCCGG